CTAAGAGCGAAAGTCAAATCGCAATATTCGGTCAGAGAATAAAAGCTCAAGAGTCGGAGACAGATGCTGTTGACTAGCTAATTTTCCTCTAATTTATCATTTCAGACTTAGGGACGACTGTGCGCAGATTTTTCTTTGTGTCATTTTGCGCGAAAATTCGAAACAAATAAACGAAACGGATAGAAATCAAACACACACAACAACAGATATATTCATACAATTCTTTTTTCCAAAAAAAAGAAGAACTGACAACAGATATTAAGACCAGGTAAGCTTATTTCGTGTAAATGTTTGTTTGACATATGGCGAGCGATATGGTGGGCAGAGCGCAGATAGTCCTTTTTGTAGCTTTGTGCTTAATAAAAAAACAACAACAACATATGGCAAGTGCTATTGGATATCTGCTGGCAGCTGGAAAATCAGTTGGTGTCATGTGAGTCACGCCCACCATACGGTGAATGGGAATGGTGAATTAAATTCCAAAGAAACTTAATGACGCTATTGTATGATTAGAAAAATTTCACGTACACTGAACGAATGCAAATATTTTCTAAATGAGTGGTTTTTGTTTTCTAGTCCTAGAATAAACCGCATTGATTCGTGTACTCGTTCTGAGATTTTGATTAAGTACTCTGTTTGTCGTACTTGTCTTCTCATACAAACAATCCCTCCCAATGGCATAGCTGTATGTCTGCGGACATACAACCCTAGAAACCGGGTTTCGATACCCCTGGTGGGCAGAGCGCAGATAACTTATGTAGCTTTGTGCTTACCTTCATAAAAACAACGGCATCTACGAGCAAATTAACGTGCTAAGTTAATGTAAACTTCAATATTTCGACTCACATTAGAGATAAGTATGATTTTTTTTCTAGAAAATACGATCTTTTCTTTTGAGATTGGATACGCATACGACATCGAATAAAGATTTGGTTGTTGTTAAATAGGTTTGAGTTTAATATTGAGTTTATCAGCTCAGTTTCTATTTGCTCATTTAATAACATATTTGAAATAATGATAGTTTTTACTTGTTCAACGGAGAACTGAACATTTGGATATTAATAATTTGATTATAGCTTTTAATTAGCCATTTAGTTAATTGATTTAATTATAATTAAGTTGGTATTTGCAGTGAAATAACTTTTTAACTGTTTTCTTTTCCAGTAACGACTCAAATAATTTCATTTAGAGAAATTTTACAGTTTTGGTTGGCATAATTTGTACTTTTAAAGCTATTTCACTTTAGAGCTTTTACATTTTGACAAACTAAACGTGCAATTTTTAAATGTTTCGTATAAAGGTATTTTACAATTTGGCATAGTAAATAAAAAATGTTTTCTTATGAATTAATGCAGTAAACTTTGTTCCTGTTTTGATAAATTGAGCTACATGTTTGTTTGTTTTTGAATTTCGCGCAAAGCTACACGAGGGCTATCTGCGCTAGCCGTCCCTAATTTAGCAGTGTAAGACTAGAGGGAAGGCAGCTAGTCATCACCACCCACCGCCAACTCTTTAGCTACTCTTTTACCAACGAATAGTGGGATTGACCGTCACATTATAACGCCCCCACGGCTGAAAGGGCGAGCATGTTTGTTGTGACAGGGATTCGAACCCGCGACACTCAAATTGCGAGTCGAGCGCCCTAACCACCTGGCCATGAGGGCCAATTGAGCCAAGAGCAATATATTGAGCAATGTTTTCTTTATTTTTTCACATTTTAAAAATTTGAAGAGAGAAAATAATTTCAACTTTGTTTTTGGGCACATTACAGATAACCCATTGAGTAGCTTTGTACTTAACAATTTACAAACAAATTGATTTTTCTAATGCCGTGCACGGAAGTATAAAAGAAAATGTTAGTCCTAATCTAACACCAGTGTCCAAGCTGTCTAAATTGCCTTTTTAACGAGAAAATGTAATGTAATTCATACACTTCACTTTTATGTACCGTATTTCGGAAAAACTACCTGACTCTGTAAATTTTTTCTGTAATTTCATTGAACGATGGTATCTAAAAATAAGGAAAACATAATTATTTACCTGATTCGTCAAGAGTACAAACTATAAAGATAGTCATCAGAAATCGGGTGCAAAAGTGATAGTTCTGCAATATTAAGTGTTCTGGTTGATAATTATGGCTTCCAAATTTTTAAGCCTACGTTTATGATATTCAGCCCTCTACTGCCAATTAAAAATTAACCATTCACATCCAGTCTGTTCTAAACTTTAATGACAACAAACAAGTGAAACATTTACTGTCTTCAGTTATTTAGTTCTGTACAGGGGTTAAACTGGTGGCGGAGAGGTCTGGAACCGCGTTACACCTTTTGAAAATTCAAGATATTAGCGTTATTGGATCACAAAATAGATTTCTACCTCTTAATTTGAAGTATACCATTTCTTTTTTTCTTTTTTTTTTCAAACCAGAAATAATTCTGACTCTTTCAGCCAGTCTATAGGGATCCTTCTGGTGGCTGATCTTTGCAATCTTTGTATCACACTTATAGTTGCACTCACCTTCTAACATACCTACACATTTTCTACAGTGAATATACATTAACTATTTACAGCACTTTAAATTAGATTTGACACGAATTTTACAAATTTATATTATGAAAAATTATCTTATCATTAGATTTCACACCGTTTCATTAATTGAATATCGAATAAAGAACTTCAAGATGAAGTCAGTCGTAATAGTATTAAGTTTTTATCATTTTTTCAGTTCCTCGATTCTAACAGTGTGACACAGCATTTCTCAACTTTCAGGCCTATTTGGAAAGGCTTGCATTATTATAAAATTGTTTTTGTATTACCATAAACATTCTACGAATGTTTGTATAACAGTAGTACGTTGAGCGTAGGGTTGTTTATGTTATATTGTACTGTTTGGTTCCAGGACAGGACACAATTTTAAACAGTTGCTGAGAAAATACACTTCGAACTATCTCGAATGCCGTGATTCCGGCTGTATTCTACGTACAGTTGTATTAACACCCCAGTCTTTTATCGAGTAAAAGAAGCTAACCTAATCATTAAAAACATTAAACAACGACTTTACCATCTGCTAATGTTTTAAGTAACGAACCGTAAGAAGTTAAATGATAAAGAACAAGTTACTCACACATTTCTAAGTAAATATATTCTAACTAATTCATAAAATGAAGTATTACTAAGTCATATAATTATCACAATACGACGAACAGATACTACATAAAAAACAAGCATT